TGGACTAAACTATCCAAAGTAAAAAGTAAAACAAACAAAAATCCAGGTGAGTGCCAGCACCCTCTGATCTTTGCTTCCTAATTTTCGAAGGACCCCAGCTGCATGCTCTTACCACTATGGAGTCTACCAACCTTCTCTCGCATAAAAGACTGCATCATCTTAATAGTGAGTCAAAACAAATCCTCCTTCCCTAACCTTGATTCCGTCAAGTTTTTGGTCACAGCAAAGAGAAAAAAAATAATACACCCTTCCACACCAGAATATACCCAAATTGTGTTAGTCAAGACATTGGCCAGTGGCAGGCTAGCTGAGCTGGCAACCCCAGCACAAGTCTCAAAGGCTGGTAATTGAAATATGTCCTCAATTCATGACAGGCTAGAGAGGAGTATCAAAGGGAGAGAATGCCAGAAGGCAGATGCTGAGAATAACAGTAGTTACCTGGGGGTAGGGGGTATACAGCAGAGATCTGCCTCATCTGGTGAGAAGGATGTGGGTGTCTAGCTGCTAGTCTGCACCAAGCCCACTGGGTTCCTCTTCCAAGAAGACTGCAGTCTGGTTGCTATGGAAACAAGCAGTGCAGAAAACTGGTAAAGCAATCATGCACAGCATCCCAGTATGGTCTCTCAGTTCTGCCACTTGAACACGTGTGACTTGTGGCTTTCTTAGGTTACCTTTCAGAAGTAGTAGCCACTGAAGAACCTTTCTTGAGGTTTCTACAAGGATCAGGAAAGACAAGCAGACCTCTATCACCATAAGACTGGGCTTTGTGTTCTGAATTCCATTGGCTAGACTCACACACAGAGAGGCACACAGACACACACACTCTGCTCTTTACTGCCCATGAGATATGATGTGGGTGTTTATAATGTATAAGCATGTGGCTTGATCAGAACCAAATATTGAAAAAGGTGTATCTCAGACATGCTCTTTAGAGACAAACTACAGCAAAACCAGTATATGCAGTTCCAGCCATTCCAGGAAAACCTCCCAACTGTGTGATTCTGTCTGTGTGGAATAAAATCTTCCTAGTGGTCAGACTCAAAGGAGGTGAGTTGTGGCGATAGCATTTTTAAAGCCATAACAGGAATAAAAATCACATGTGTAACAGGAGTTAATAACGAATGTGGTGCTTGGCTGGTGATAACATGGGCAGACCTTCTGTCCTCAGCCACAAAAACAACTCTAACTCTAGGCTCATTTCTACCCTTTGAAAGTGGATCAGGTCAAACATCTCTGATTTCCACTCTCACATGAAAACTCTGGGATTCAGCAGGAAATATTTGGGCCTGAACAGGTTAAGAGATGGTCCCCGGTTTCAGTCTGGCCCTGGGGTCTCTGTGAGATCAGTACTACAGAGGGAATACAGTATTCTATCCTCTCTACACACCTTGGTATTCATGTTCCTACTGTTTACTTAGAACACAAGCCTGCATTTATTTTCTGGAAACTGCTTTGTTCATCACAAATACACCCTCTTCTTTGAGAGAACATTAATCACTAGACAGAAACAAGTAATATTGACTTCTGAAAGTTTTGTGGTCTGGAATATCTGTACCTGACTGGCATAGAAAATTCTAGAGCATTTGCCAAAACCCATCGTTATGATGGAATCTTTTCTATGCTGGCCTCAGCAGAAGCACAACTCAGTGGTAAATTGTCTGAATATGGAAAACCAGACATTGAATTCTAAATGCTCACCATGACATTCTAGGCAAGGCTGAGACAGAGCATGTGTTTAGAACCTGCTTGCTGATGACTTGGAGCCTGTTTCCTTCTGTTAGTCCACATAACTAGGATTTGACTTTAGGGGAATGCCTTTAAATGGTTAAACACTGGTAACTCCAGGAATTCTTTGAACCTGCAAGGATTTTGGCCCTAAATATCATTTTCTCCGCCACTTCCAAATTTGCTGCTGTCACTCACGAGGCCTCAGATGACACCAAGCATTAGTAACTTGAAGAAAGGAAAAAAGTCAGCAGACTCTGCCTTCATATTGCATTCCTTACTGTTTCCAGATGCTATCCTTGAATGGGCAAGTTTCTCCAGGCATCTACTTGGGGAGACAAAGTACTAGAAAACAATACCACCCAGGCCAGGCATTTGAAATACACATAGTCCACATGCCTCAGTCTGGGGTTTGTGGGAACACATGCCCAGGAGGGGCCAGGCAGATAATTATCCCTGCCTTACAGATGAGTTCATTATGATTCTTGAAAGGATACTGTCTTCACACAGTCACTATGTAGCAAGAGTGTGATGGGGCCAGCTACATAACTTCCAGTTTCATTTCTGCCTCACAAGGCCACCAGAGCATTTGCAGCGTTCTCCCAACGCACTTCCCTGTAAGAAGCAGCCCTGCCACACATGCCGGAGAATGCCTGGCACTTTTCTGGTATGCAGGCAGGGAAGGAACTCGGTTCCTGGGTTTCGTGGGTCAGTATGGCTAGGAGACTGTAGAGACACTTTTCTACTTTTTTTATCTTCTTAGGAAAAGATGACATAGATTGGTCACAAGGGGGTGAGACATCCTTAGCCATGTCCTGTGTAAAGCAGGACAGGCAAAACAAACAAACAACTGAGGTCAATCATGAGATTAGTAAATGGAGAATCAACAGCATAACATCTGCCACATTTGCTGGGAAAGGCTCCTGAGAGCCTTCTCCTTTTCCAGAGCAGAATTCATTTTTGAACTTAGATACAGAAACAGCAATTAGGTGAATTTTGGGGGGCCTGGTTATTATATTCAGTGACTTCCTTGTGTGTGTGTGTGTGTGTGTGTGTGTGTGTGTGTATGCACATGTATGTGCAGGTGTACATGAAAATTGCATATACATTTAGCAGCCAGAGGACAACATAAAGTATCTTCCTCTACTACTTTCCACCTTAATTTTTTAAGACAGGGTCTCTCATTGAACTTGGAGATCACTGATTAGGCTAGGCTGGCTGGCTAGCCAGCAGGCCCCAGGGATACTCCTGTCTCCACTTCCCCAGGTGCTGGGATTATAGGCATGTGCCACCACACTTGGCTTTTATGTGGGGTTGGGAATCAAATTCAGATTTTTGTATTCATGCATGGTAAACTCTTTATCATTTGAATTTCCATATGGGGGAAAGAAATGACTTCTTCAAACTATTCTTAGACCTTTACACATATACTGTGGCAAAGTACCTACATGTAGTCAAAGACACACACATAAAGTATAATTTTTAAGCTTTTTTACACTTTCAACTCATGGCACATATTGTCCATTTCCAAATCATGGCTTACAAATTCATCAGGTTGATATTTTATAGGTAATGGTGACAATTACCCAAAACATCATAGTTGCTGTGTATGGGTAGAACAGCTTTGTCATTCCCAAGGATGGTCTAGTTATATAGCCCATGAACATAACAAAGTGCATAAATCAAAAGGAAAATATTTTTAAAAATCATGTTTCCAAAGAGTCATGAGAACAAGATGCACTTGCATTCAAAAGCTGAGCTGCCAGCCAACAGCAAGGTGTGCATCTGTGATTAGCTTGCCACATTTGTGATTATGTTTGCTAGAGCTAGTTTCTTTCCTTTTGCTGCTCTTTGATGACAATTTTATCCTTATAATAAGGGAAATGGTTCAGGCAGAGTGTGGTGAAATGAAGAGGTTTGTGTCCTGAGAGAGACAGAATCCAGTTCACACAGCAAGTGTTGCTGATGTTTGGAGAGTGGGTCAGAGCCTAAATATCTGTTGACTCCAGGTGGGATGTTATTTTCAGTTACTGCTATATTGAGCTTCAAATCTCCTTTTGCTAACATGAACCTTTTCTGCATAAAATCCATACTGAAAGCACCAGAGGTTCAGTATCCCAGCTTTAGTCAGCTGGTGTTTGCAGCTAGTCGATATGCCTCATTCCTCCAAATCATTATCAAACTCTGAAAGTTCCCTGGCATTTGAATCATGAAAACAAAGGACAGATGTGAAATGGCATCCGTTAACCACCCAACCAAAGGGGGAATGCATCTGAAAACTCGTTTATTATTATCTATGTTTCGCAATGCAGATGACAGCAATTGTGCAGAGTTGTGAATAGAAATTCAAATCCAGACTGCTCTAAGTGAAAGCCAAATGGGTTTCTGATGAAATAGAGGGGTTTACGTCATGCTTAACATGGACTTTTTTTTAAAAAAAAAAAAAAAAAGATTTCCTCTAAGTATATTTTGAGGTTGAGTACATCTTATTCAAGTTTCTTCATGCTGATGAGATGGGTAAATATATGATCACCATAGGTCAAATTAATGTTAGATTATGCCTGTGATAGCTAACCGGTCACCTCTCATCCAGTGACCTGTGGCCACTGTACATGCCTAACTTGTCCATATAGGAAGTCTTTGTCCTCTTCTTTCCTCATGTTCATTGTGGAGCTCCTGCCACTTCACTGTGGACCTCTCAATACCTTGATTAAGCTATCACATTCATACTTCTCAATTCAGTGTTCTTATGACCAGGAACTTCCTAAGAGGGTGTCCTTCCTGTGTGACTTCTGAAATCTGAGGTTGTCGTCTATCTTGCCTAAATATGATGGGAAATGAATCACTTAAAGGGGATTATGGAGAACCTCTAAGTATTAGCAAAAAGCAAAGTTCAAGGAGTTTTAGAAAGCTCAGTGGTGTTAGAGATGTAATCGGTAGGCCAATTGTTGGCTGTGAATACAGCTAATGAAGGTGGTAAATTACAACATTAAAAACAAAACGTTCATGTTCACATTATATTTATTGTATTTAGTGGCTAACTTTAGGATAACTAAAGGAGTTTACAGCTCTCTGTGAATTTCTTAAGTGGCCTCCTGCTCTTTAACACAATTCATTTGCTTTGTGTTTTTATTTTCTACAGATAACTTGTAAGGTTCCCTTCTAGGCCAAGCAAGACTTGACTTGCTATGAGCTTGCTGTCCATGCTGTAGCAATAATCTTCACAGTCTAGCCACTTTTCTCTTTTCCTTTTTGTCTTCTCTATTTCTTTGCAGAAGACCATCAAATGAGTTGTACACGAATAATGCAGGACACAGAAAAGGATGATAACAACAATGATGAGTATGATAACTATGATGAACTGGTAGCCAAGTCACTATTAAATCTTGGCAAAATTGCTGAAGATGCAGCATACCGAGCCAGGACTGAGTCAGAAATGAACAGCAATACCTCCAATAGCTTGGAGGATGATAGTGACAAAAATGAAAACCTCGGTCGGAAAAGCGAACTGAGTCTAGATTTAGACAGTGATGTTGTTAGAGAAACAGTGGACTCCCTTAAGCTGTTAGCACAAGGACATGGTGTTGTGCTATCAGAGAACATTAGTGACAGAAGTTATGCTGAGGGGATGTCACAGCAAGACAGTAGAAATATGAACTATGTCATGCTAGGGAAGCCCATGAACAATGGACTCATGGATAAGATGGTGGAAGAGAGTGATGAGGAAGTGTGTCTCAGTAGTCTAGAGTGTCTGAGGAACCAGTGCTTTGACCTGGCCAGGAAACTCAGCGAGACCAACCCACAGGACAGAAGTCAGCCACCCAACATGAGTGTGCGCCAACATGTCCGGCAAGAGGATGACTTCCCTGGGAGGACACCAGACAGGAGCTACTCAGATATGATGAACCTTATGCGGCTGGAGGAGCAGCTAAGCCCCAGGTCTAGAACGTTCTCCAGCTGTGCCAAGGAGGATGGGTGTCATGAGAGAGATGATGACACCACCTCAGTGAACTCAGACAGGTCTGAGGAGGTATTTGACATGACCAAGGGCAACCTGACTCTGCTAGAGAAAGCCATTGCCTTGGAAACAGAGAGAGCCAAGGCCATGAGGGAGAAGATGGCCATGGACGCTGGGAGAAGGGATAACCTGAGATCCTATGAGGACCAGTCTCCAAGACAGCTGGCTGGTGAAGACAGAAAATCCAAATCCAGTGACAGCCATGTCAAAAAGCCATACTATGGTAAAGGTAATATTTCTACCTAACGTAAGTTGCTTCAGGCAAATGTGAGCTAAGCGAGAGATGCCGATAATAGTCTGTTATACGATAAACCACTACAAATATTATGTCTAATGCACATTTTTAGAGTTTATTCAAGAGCTGTATCATATGACAACTTACCTATATAACAAATAAAATATTTGTTTGAGAAATATATAAAATAACTAAATGTGCTGTCATTAGAGCAGTTTGATAGTGGGAAAGTGCATTCCTGGAGAAGACATGGCTAGTGCACAGACACACCTATTGATAGAGATCATTAGGACCAGGGTATGCTGTTACAAAGGAACCATGATCTATGCTGAGAAGTGGCAAGGGTTTAGGCAACAATCAGTCAATCAGAGATGAGGCACTTTGTTCATAAATTGAATTGAGTAGATGGCTTCACGATTTATAAAATTATTACCTCGTGACAGTTATTGATGAAACTGGCCCCATAGAAAATACCCAAAAGGAATTGAACGGCAACACGATGACCGATGACATAAGATAAGGACAGTGACTGCACATTAATTATCTATGATAGTTAGCCAAGAAAACTACTTGTCATGCAAGGCACGCAGTAGTCAAAGCTGAAACCAATAGCAATTTCTCTAGAATATTAATTCCCCTTACTAGCTCCATTACATTGTGGAAATAGTTGTAGCTCTTTTGTCAAATACTGTGTATTTTTTTTAAAAATCTCAAACCTATCCAAGGATAGTTCAACTGAATTTTACTTTATGAAATAAGTGAGCACATATTTGCATCTATCTGTTTATGTAACTTAGCTAACCTGACAGAGTGAGTTCATGTTCATGGTAGCATCTGTATCCATCAGCCATTGGTACAAGTCTTGGTTCAGCTTCACCTAGTAAGCACCTTGGTATAGTTGATTCCGCACAAGACTTAGAAACTATAAAACTATGAAAGAAACTATCGCAAAAATGAAATTGGTAGTTCCTTAAATCCTTTCTGTATTATCACCAAAAACTGTTCCTTTTTCTGCTTTTCATTTTGTTCTGTACATTATGAAGACTCAGTTTCCTCACTATGGATCTGATCATGAGATTCAGGAATTTAGTTTGAAAACCAGTTGCTGAACAAACTTAAAACAATCAGAAAAACTGTATTGTCCCTATTGTGGCTCAGGTGTGTATGCTCCTCTCAATGTGTGCTCATAGCTCCATGGCCAGCTGGACATTGCTATGACCAAGTCCAAGCTGGCAGAAGCCTTAGCCAGAGCTCTGAGTGTTCCTGGTTGACTAGTGCCTGGATGGATATGGGCTTTTCAGTTCTAGAAGCAAGCACAAGACCCCCAGATGAGTGCACACAATGACAGCATTACTTTCAAAGGAAATAGATTCTTCAGGCTTTCCTTGAAACACTATGGAACACAGCTCATGTGTTTTAAATAAGCATTTGAATAAGGCGTGACAATTAAGAGATTTTTTGTTGGATTTTAAGAATGATAAAAATGCATGTCTTTCCATATGACTGCTGTTGTTCAGATACATTTTAGACTCATGTTTTAGAATTCTAAGTAGTAGTTCCAAGGACAGAGATGTGGTGTTGAGAAGCATAGTGCGTGACCATGTGTGGAGGCAAATTATGCATCACAGGGTCTCTGCATCGCCATGGCTTCTTTGGCTTGTGTAGTTCACCAAGCACACAACTTGTTTTACTTTGTTGTTAGGTTACTTTACTTTTATGCAGAAACATGGAATTTGCCCTGACTGCTTCCCCTACATGAGGAAGGGGAAGTGAATGCTAGGATGCATTTTGTCATGAGAAGGGGAAGGTTGGAAGCCTGAATTTTCTTAAGAGAAAGAAGGCACTGGTCACCACTTCTCTAGTTTCCCAGGTTTACTTCTAACCAAAGTTATCAGTGTCTTCCACTAACATTTTCCATGTTTCCTTGACTATAGCTATAGTGTCATTCTGAGCCAAAGCCAAAATAACACACACACACACACACACACACACACGCACGCACGCATGCACGCACACATTTACATACATTTGTGTGCACACACACATATACAAAAACACACACATGCCCCCCCATGTATACATACATGTGCACATTTACACATGCACTCCCACTCATGCGCACACATACACATGTGCACACACATACACACACACACACACATACATGCATGCACACATACATGCACACACCAAAAAAAAAAAAATGGAGCAAAGAGAGTAAAGCCCTCTTTAAACAAACTAAAGTTATGGGGCCACATCTCACCAACACGCCTGAAGTTACCCATCACGTCACATCAACATGCTGTGTTGTAGCTACTCTCTTGATTCTGTAAAGATAAGAGAACACATGTACCTGTTCTCATACCATACATCTAAACTGAAAGTACTTCACTAAAGTACTAATGAGTAACATTTCAAAATATTTAGGTAATATAAAATAACTCCTTTGTCTTCCTCACAACTCCCTTTCCTTCCCCCTAGGGCAGAAAGGGAATAAGCTGAATTCAAAGCACTTTTTTTTTTAAGTTATTGCAAGGTTTCTGGTTAGGTTGCCTGGTCTTTTTGTTTGCTTTACCATTTCCTATTTGTTTGAAAGATGAATTGGGATTTCGAGAAACAAGTCATCAAAGGACAGTGATGGTGAAGGCGATGGCAGGCCCCATCTCTGCCATGCACCCAGAGCAGACTATTCTCTTCTGGTATTCTCTGTACCCTCGGAGAGTTTTGAGCCTTTTTTTAATATTAAGATCATTTAAAACTGTTTCAAAAATCTGTGAAATCATGTTATTTGTGCAAGATATTTGGGTCCTGATGAAGCACTTTATGATCAAAGTGAATAGTATGGTAATTTTAAATCCTGTACAAGTCATTTGTATCTAGTTTTTAAAAATCTCTTAAATTTATTATTTTTAATTATCAGTGTTGTCCTTGGAAACTGTTACTGTGTGGTTACTATTTTTAAAATGACATGGATTAACTTTTCTTAGTATAATGAAATTGCTCAGAGTGCAACACACTGCTAGGCTTTACTTTGAACCTACACGAAACTGAAATGCCAGGACTTACTCTTGGGTTTGTTGACAAAGACCATGAGGCAAGCATAGGGGCAGGACAGCAGTTGGCAATGCCCAGTGTTTTGTTCCATACCAGTGCTGGCTGGAGTAGTTCTAGCACCTGACAGGAACGTTATGTAGATGATGTATTAGCAGAAAAGGAATGTGGAATACCCTTCACATCAACATAACAGCGTTTGTAAGATCTTGGGAGTGAGTCGTTTGTCTATTTCATGCTCATAAGTGACACAAGAAAGTCTTTAAGAGTTCAAACATTCCAAATTCAAGCCAGGTATAGTGGTTCATGCTTGTAATCCCAGTACTTAGAGACTAATGCAGGAGTGTTACCCTGAGTTTAAGGCCAACCTGAGCTACATTGTTGAGATCCAGGCCAATCTGGATTACAGGGTGATACTCTACCTCAAAAGACCAAAGCAAATAAAATTCAAACTCAAGATACTTTTTCTTGATATAAATGAATTTTTAATCAAAAGTAAAGCATGTATTTTCTAATAAGTATGACTGGGCCAATTAATGAGATATTCATATAAAAGAATTAAATGCCTAATGAAAATGTAACTCTAGCAGTCACTGAACCAAAACATAATAGTTACTATTGGTGATCTGAGCAACTGGTTTTCAAATACTTGTTCCAAAAAGCATTGTGTCACAATCTACGATTTAGAATTCAGCCTGAGCTGGCCTCAGAAACACTTTCTAGAGTTGTTGCAATGCATGAGGGTGAACTGTGGTTGATCTGGGTGTTTGAAAAAAAAAAAAAAAGCAAATCTATTAGGATATTGTTACATCTCTGGCATCCAGCATTCAATTCTGGACCAAACGTCTGCTCTGATTGGCTCTTGGCTGGCGCTGCAGAGGAGCTGGCAGCGCTCTAGATCAGCCTGACCTCCTACTTTGTGTATGCATGCACAGCATTACACGAGCCTTCCTCTGGTTCCAAGTACAGACGAAGAAATCAAAACAAATGGTTGCTCCAGCGGCTTCTGAAGCGTTTTTTGATTGCCCATCACCCTGCCAGGTGGGATCACCACCCTTCCCGTCATTTGCTTACAGTGCCTTCTGAGAATTTGTTTTTAAAAAAAAAAAAAAAAAAAAAAAAAAAAAAAGTGCTGAATTGCTATGCTAAGAAACAGTGTGACCTAACCTCAGAGGGGGAAAAAAAAAAGTCTGCAGGAAAATTCCGCAGCTTATGGCATATGAGACCAGAGCACTTCAAAGAGGGAATCAGGTGAAGGGTTTCTGAGCCTCACTCTGGTTGAATTGTATGGAGAAATTGCTGAATGAAATATGGAGTTTTGTTCTCTAAGAAGGTCACTGTCTCATCACTATTTACATTGATTTCTTTGAGCAACACAGCTTATCATGTAACACACGGGAAACCAATTGATCAAGAGTTAAGATTAGAGATAGGTGATTTTTTTTAACTTTTAATTAAAAAAATACTTTATGATTCCTGATTACATTGTATAAGGTTAAAAATATTATCCACACCCAAGGAGCTGTGAAGCAAAAGCCTGATGTCCCAGCCTATCCCTGACACCTGCCTAATTTCTCTGTTTAGCCAAGGTCTCTTCAGGTTGCTGGATAACCGCATGAGTCTGCAGTTGGTAAACATTCATTTTCTTGACACCTGTTGTCGCTTTTAGATCCCTCAAGAACAGAAAAGAGAGAAAGCAAGTGTCCAACCCCCGGGTGTGATGGAACCGGCCACGTAACTGGGCTTTACCCGCATCACCGCAGTCTGTCTGGATGCCCGCACAAAGATAGGGTCCCTCCAGAAAGTAAGTCGTGTCTCGCCGCTCCCCGGGGCGTGCAAGCACTCTGGCTCTGTCAATCATCCCCCCAACCTCATCTTCATGGCACCTCAGTGAAGCTGTAACTGACCAGACCTTTCCTCAGCCTGGAGGGCACCTCAGGAAGCTTCCCCCTACATCCTCTGGATATTCTGGGTACTAGGTCCCAAGAGTAGCTCACCCTGCAGTTGTCTTTCTGGAACAGGCTCCCAGGCCCACCTGAGCTCTGGCCCTAAATTCTATTTATTCTGTTATCCCAGTCAGGTAATTTCTCTACTTGGTCTCACACATGACAGAACTGTACTAGCCAGCCTCTAACATAACCCATGCACACTGGTCTTAGAAATCCCAGGAAAAACAGGCCTCGGTATCCTGCTCAAATTCCTGAATTATTGCACTCTGTCCAGTCAGCATTTAGAACAGCTTTGTTATATTCACTGTAGTCTGTTTCTTATCACAGGTGCCCTGGCATTTGCACACTAAACATGTCAAATGGACAGGTTTGGATTTGGTGGGGTTTTTCTTTTACACATTCTTTCTAAAAGACAGGTTCCAAGGGTATGAAATGAATTAGTGAAAACAGTGTTTCTTTTAGATCTAAAATGATATATATCATTTTTGTTTACCTTTCTCTTTGCAAGAAATTTACCAACTATGTAAAATCAATGAGAATCAATTGTCCAAAGCACAGACTCCAGTTTCAGAGATGAGTAAGGTGATGGATGCCTAGGATGAACCTACAGCATGCAGTGCCTACCTTCAGCTTCCAGTAGGGAAGGTGGCTGGAGGTATAGCTAGATGACTAGATGAATATTCGAAGACATTTTGAGGACCATGCTGTTACCAGGGGCACCCTTGAAATCCTTGAGAAGCAAAGCTGTCAGAGGGCAGGCAGCTCTTGTATCAGTGTGACATGAGAAGCAGGGAAAGCGAAGTGCTCTCTGGTGAAACGTGTTCAGATGGTATTATGGCTTCAGGTTCTCAAATGCCTATTAAAATTACATGCTTATGTTTCCTGTATCTGTCTTGAGAACAATTATGAAAAAGTCATAAAAATAAAACAAATCCAGGTGTGTCTACAATCCCGTGTGTTACATGACAGGGAGACGCATGGTTGACGACAGCGGCTTCCACATGTGAGCACTGTGGTAGGTGCTTGGCTGGCAAATGCAAGCACTGGCCCATTCAATGCCATAACCCGCCCAACCTGGGGAGCACTGCCCTGTTTACCAGATGAAGAACATGGGTATCCAACTCCATCTTCTTTCTCTTTCAAGGGAAGCACACTGGCTGGCAATAGGTGGTGCTCAGTACTTTAAAGTTCATCTGAGCAACTGTCAATGGGCCTGAACTCAGCTGTAAATCCATGCCAACTCTCAAACCCATCACCAACCCAAACCCTGGGTCTGGTGTTCCTATTTCAGCTCTAACCTGCTTCCTGGCATCAGGCATGTTGTGGGTTCTCAGTACAAAATGAGGCACCAGGGCTGAGAGCTAATGCTTTAAAAAGTGTCTTTATGGGATTTTTTTCCAGGACATAGTGGGGATTTTTTGCCTTTAAGATTAATCCTTTTCAATGGATAAGAATTCTCCTTGACTCTATATTTTCACAGGAAATGTCTAGATGTGGTTCAAGTGTAGGTTATGCTCTGTTGATCTGGAAACTGAATAAGCCTTCTCTGGTTGACCACATGTGGACCCATCTTAGCAGGCACTAAGTAGGGCTCAGGTCTCACCTGGTCCTACAAACTAGGTATCTACAAAAAGAAAAAGAAAGCATTTCTAAAGCCAGACATGGATCATGGATGTAATCCCAGAACTTGGGAAGTAGAAGCAGGAAGGCTGAGTTGGACACCAGCCTGGTATATCTGAGACCATGTCTCAGAAAGTGTACACGTGGCACAGGGGTACATAGGAACTCTTGACTACTTTCTCAGAATGTAAAAGTAAATAAAGAACTCCATAGTAGGTAGCGTCCTTTGTTTTTCTGGACTGGCTTCCCTCCCTGTTTCCACCCAAGTGAATCCAGTGAAGGGTTCTTCTGCTGGGACATACTAACTGGATGGACGGCAGAGGATACTTCTACTCATAAAGAAACTCCAGCCAGACAGAGTTGCTATCACCACCCACAATAGAGATTTACAGTATGCTGGGTAGTGTGGGAAGGTATCCCAAGTAGGTATAGCGGGTGGTAGGTACCCTGTGCCACTTTTTGAGCACTACAAGTACAAACAGGAGTGAATTGCCAGGGCAAAGCATACAGTATGAAGGAAAGAAGGGAGTCAAACATAGGCTTTTTGTGAAAATGTGAGGTAAAGGAGGAAGTGGATGGTGGTCAGTAAACCAGGTAAATTTGCATTTCTCAAAACCTCTAGGTGTGATGTCCATGGCTCTGGTTCGAAAGGAGCCTAGGAGGAAGGACTACAGAGGTCACTGGGCCTCCTGTTTGAAAGCTTCTGCAGATGTTTCAGAGAAAGATTGGGGGAAAGTAGTGAGGGTATCACTACAAACTAAAGTGCAGAAATGGTTTGAAACAGAGTCCAAAGAAGCAACCTGCAGACAGAAGAAGAAGATGCCACTACAGGTGTGGCCAGAACAAAGTACCTGGGTCTCCACTTAGCAGGATACAGAAACAGTCACTTGAACTCTGTCACACAGCCAAGCCTAGAAGGTGTTTGTTCTCTCCAGGGAAGACTTTATAATAGAAATATTTGGCATAAAGAGAAAGAAAGGCACATATTAAGGTAAAGAGAAATATGTGCCATTCTAACAGGGCAATAGGATAGTGGAAACACTAGCAAAACTGCAGAGTTCAAAGAGAAGGGCACATTATCCTCTGAAACAGGGACTCCTCAGAAAAGAGATCTCCTAGTCCCCCACCAAAAATAAATAAATAAATAAATAAATAAATAAATAAATAAATAAATAAATAAATAAAAACCTCTTCCAGGAAAGGAGGAGCTGAATGTTGACTTTTCCACTTTGATTCATATTTACTGAGCATTAGCCACATCTAAAGAAGAGGCAGGAGCTATGAGAACTTAGGGGCAAAACTGCAATAGGCTGTTTTTAAAGATCTCACCAATAGTAGTAACATGAACAGGTACAACAAAGGCATGTAGAAATGGTACACAGGGTGCAAGACAATGACTGCTCCAGAGGAGGAAGTCATGGGCAATAGTGACAGGTGTGAGCAGACATAGCTCTGAGCAGACTTCACATGACCACTGACCCTAGGCAGGCTCTGAGGTAGGGAGGACTGCCACAGAGGCCACTGGGGTTTGCAGGCATCCAGTTCAGAGAGGCAGAGCATGTGGCCAGTAGGCCTCTTTGGAGTCAGTTGTCTTGACGTCCCCAGAACTCCTAGCCCCACAAGCCTCAGCAGACACAGAGGATGGAGCTGTCAATAAAGACCAGCCTCTCTAGATGCCAACAGGCAGTGTCCTCGTGCCCTGGGGGTCATCTCTTTCATCTTCCTGTTTGTTACTTTTGTGTGATGAAATTGCAGAGATCTTACTGTTCCTGCTCATTCTACTAAAAGCACACACACACCAAAAAAAAAAAAAAAAAAAAAAAAAAAAACTGATTTCCTAAGCAAACATGGTTTATTTAAAAAGTAAGGTTTAAAGTTCTGCCTACTCACATCAGACTTTGATGATCCCATGTGTTTCCAAAGCACAGGCATGTTTCTAAAACGCCCAGGCTATGTGCTGTTACACGGCTGATCAGCATCCAGTGCTTACCCATGGGATACACTAGGTTGGCCCTTGCTTTTCTGTCCCATGAGGGACTACTCAGTTTTGGCGCTCTCTAACCCCCGTGGCTCCCTGCCAGTGCACCCTGCTTTGCATGCCTGAGTACAGTCATACAACCTTCTTTCTCTTCCCACATGTATTTCCTGGTCATGCACATCACAGACGTTTGTAGGCCTGTCTGTTGTAAACTAATCTAGCCTGTTAAGAAACAATTGCATATTGTATTCTCATCACTTCTCTCTTTTAATGCTGGGCTATTTTCTTTGCCTCTCCTTTGTCAAGTTCTTGCCATGCATGAAAATGTTCTCAAGTGTCCCACTCCAGGCTGCACAGGGCGAGGGCATGTGAATAGCAACAGGAACTCGCACAGAAGGTAAGCCACACTCTGCTGGGGTGTATGCTAGAGGGAGCCATCCACAACCCTGCCCCATGGGAGCTCTTTCCTTCTATGCATCCCTCCTTTTCCAAGGAGACTGGTGGACCTCACACATTGCTCCTAAATAGTCAGTCACACCATGTATAGGAAGGTATAGGCTTGGTTACCCTGTTTTGAAGATTGATTTCTTCAGTTGTTGCCTTCCTTAGTAGAAAAGAGCACTGTTCCCTCGTAAGATACCCTTCTTGGTACAGCATCTAAGATGGAAGCCACAGCCACTTACAAAGACAGTGACCAGAAGGGTCCGGCAAGGTTCTATTATCTTCCCACATAGAAGAGATTGTCTTCCACTTACCATATAGAACAATGGACTAGAACCCAGCAGTGATAATCCAGATGACTAACTTGGTTGCTCTTGAAATTCTGATGAATCCCCTGGCCAACAGCATGGGCATCGTTAAAATATGAACAGATGTCCAGAAGCTCTGGCAGGGGTACACCAGTGGGGATGGTACTCTAGGTCAATGGCTTTCTCTGTACTACTGCTGAAAAATACATGGCCAGAATCATACTCTGGATGGTAACAAGTCCCAGCTTTCTTCCACATCCTTTTCAGACATTAAAAAAGACGGCAAGTTCCCCAGAAAATCCAGGTGATAACATATCACTTCCTTTTTTGCAGTAGCAGAATGTGATTCTGTTAAGGTTTCTCTTGCCATGGCTTAGGTTTCTTCCTAGATCAATGAAGCTGTAAAATTTCTCTTCATTTTTGTCTGACTGGTGAGTCACAACAAGCAGCTTGGTTACTGGTGTTCAGTTTATAATAAAACAGATCACAGCTCTATGCCCATTGGAGCTTCTCTGTTACTGAATCTGTAGGGGCTGGCAGAGATGCAGGAGATCCCTGCCTAGTCTTGTGCAATGAGCCTTCAATACCAGTTCCTTCTTTTGGCTTCAGTACATGTGTGTACATGAATGGACACCCACATGTATCTAGAGCACACAGAGGCAGCGTGCAGATACCATGATTTCCCGAGGAAGCAGCTCAAACAAAGAAGCCTCGCTGCTTCCTCTGCCATAGTGACTACCTGAACTAGTTACTAAACACACTTGGATGCAGTCCTGAGGGTGTTCCTATTGTACCTCCCCTTCTCTTTCCTTCCCTTTGTGAGCTGAGGTCAGAAATCCCTAAAGCCTTGCAGGTAGATGCCTCTGTGTCATCAGCTCAGAGTGCCACCGCCTGGTACAGCCGGCTAACTGCTACTCTTGGGTTTGTCAAAAACTCTTTCTCTAGCTGCCACTGCCTGGCCTCTAGAAATGGCCAACACTCCTGAATTTTTGCCAGAAATTTTAACCAGCTTGTGTTGCATTGCTTCTTGGAATTTGGGGTGCTCATTGGATAGGTTTGGTGTTGCCATCGTAGCTGTGCGCCAGACCCCAGGAAAACACAGCACCAAGCAAGCTGGAAAACTCTCTCATTTCCGTCTACCTCAGGGTCTCCTTGGCTGGCTGAAGGACGAAACATAATGGGTGCATCAGGGTGCGGCAAGGCATACACTTAATCAATTAAATCTTCTTTCTGTCATTGTAGCCTCTCTGGATGCCCTATTGCTGCTGCAGAAAAATTGGCAAAGGCTCAAGAGAAACACCAGAGCTGTGACGTGTCCAAGTCCAACCAAGCCTCAGACCGAGTCCTCAGGTACTCAACAGAAGTGTGTCACTGATGCAGTTCCATCAGAATAGCTATAACTGGGACACTTCACAGGGTAGATTTCCTCTAGGCAGAGGAAAGCCATGCCAGACTAGGAACTGAGACTTGTGTGTGCCCTCTCTTACACAAGATTATGTGGAAGCCTGGAGGTCAGTATAACTCCCAGGTCTCCAGTGGCTCAGTGTGACTTTTGAACTGAGAGAATTGGATACATTTATACGATTTGCAGCCCTGATAATCCATAACTCTATGAATGCTGAATAAAAGAGAAGTTTTAGAATTTAGTGATGATAGTAGCCCAATATAATTTCATCTCAGTTTGGAGCAAGGTACATCACCTACTTATGGATGGCACTGCTCTTTTAGAAAATGTGAGAATGATGAATGCCATTATCATGTATGAAAAGTCATCAAAGTTGCCATCACCTTTTATCCCCACACACCCTTAAGATGTGGGTGGTAGTAGGTGGCATCGCTGCCATCTGACAGGCAAGACGCTTAGAGTGCAAGGACTCATGACTTAACCTGAAGTCAGGACTGCATGCTAAAGTGGAAAAGGCCTGGGGAGCAGGACTGAACCCCCCTCTTTCCAAATTTGGGAAGGTGATTATTGGTAGAGGAAGATGTCTATATTCATCACAGACCTCACATCCATCTCAAGAAATCTGTGACAGTCGATGTACTTCTGCCTTCTTACTCGGTCTCACGACGACAATGTCTTTGTCTCTGCACGCCAATGTTAACTATCATCCTAAGGGCCACGTTTGACTATGCCTGGTTAAGTGGATGCCACACCACAGTCAAAACTCAGAGCTAGCTCTAAAACAAACAGGCTGTCTCTATAGAGTGACGATAAATACTTTCCCATAGTTACAGCATTTGGCTTCTGCTGAAGGATTTCTTTGGGAGAAACTACCTGGAGAAAATCACTAGGCAAGAGGTAGAAATGGCTTTGTGTCCTCATTTAGCAGTTCATGATTTTTTTTTCTTGCAATTAATTAAACTAACTTCCTCCTTTGGTTAAAAAAAAAACATTAAAATATTTCCAGGAAAATTTAAAATATTTAAATAAAAATAAGAAAATAAAAAATAGCTATAATCCCTCTATTCCAAGATAACCCCTCTTTGATTTTTTGATAACTCTATACATCGGTATACTTTTTATATTGCTTCAACAAGAAATAGGCTGAATTGGTGAACTGAAGACAGTAGGCTGGTAATTTGAGACTGTGTATTTTAACCATGCTGTAATACCATAAAAGTGGCATAGATATACTGCCTAGTAAAACATATAAAGGCCAGGTCATCATCTAAAGGCATGGCTCTGTGGGAGACTGCCTAGAATTCACCAATAAGAAACTCTAGGTATCACTCTAGCTTAGTGACTGCCTATGATGCATAATATTCTCGGTTCAGTGTAGTACTACAAAAACAAAAAATAAATAAATAAGTAAAAGAGGACTCATTTTCTTGTAACTACTACTAAATATAAACTTAAGAAATAATCATGGATGAACATTGTCAAAAGTTCTAATTGCAAAAAAATGGAAAGAATAGTTTAGTAATGTAACATGGGTGAATGTTGTCAAAAGTTTTAATAGCAAAAAATAATTGATAAAAAATAATAGTCGGTAAGGTAACATTCATATTCTAATACCAAATATTAAGAGCTGCATTTTAAAAAAGAAAAAAGAAAGCAACTAAAAGAAATGGCAAATGCTGTGTGAAATTAGGGCAAACTATGTCAATTTTTAAATACTTAAAAATATATATCAAGATTTCAACAGTTTTAAGTCTGAAAGAATTCTGGGTAATTTTTTTGTTTTTGTTTTTTGTTGTTGTTGTTTTTCGAGACAGGGTTTCTCTGTGTAGCTTTGGAGCCTATCCTGGAACTCACTCTGGAGACCAGGCTGGCCTCGAACTCACAGAGATCCGCCTGCCTCTACCTCCCGAGTGCTGGGATTAAAGGTGTGCGCCACCAACGCCCGGCTCTGGGTGATGTTTTTAAAGCAGTTTTTATATTTGCTAAACGTTTTCCCAATGACCTGGAGACTGGAAGGCAGGCATGCAGGTGACGGCTGAGCACGGCGGTCACCACCCTGGTCTGTGGCCTCCCACAAACCCTCAGATGGCAGCCCACCCGTTAGCCACCGGCTCACCCACTGGAGGTCCAGAAAGCGATTCCCAGGGAGGTGCAGCAAGTATTGGGGGCTGGGGACAAGCAGTCTTTCGTGTTTCCAGCTGGTTGAGAACAGGCAGTGTTTCCGGTAGGAACAGGCACCATTTCCGGCAAACACGCAGTGTTTCCGGCCAGGAAAGGCGGTGTATCTGGTAAAGGTACAAGGCGGTATATCCGGTAGGAGCAGGCTGTATTTCCAGTTGAGGTACAGGCAGAGTTTCCTAGTTACGCACAACAGCAGCAGGGTTTCAGGATGACGAACCGACAGTATTTCCCACTGAGGTACGTGCGGGTATATCCATGCGTGAATCCACTGAGTGAGAAAAAGTTTCTCATCATCAGAGATCATCCTTTGTAAATAGACTGTGAGCCAACACTTAACACGTGAATTCACCATATTTTTTCCTCCTGCTAAAACATCCATTTTTCTTTCATGGGATCTTATTTTTTTTTAATGTTTCACATAAACCAGAAACAGAATTATCAGTGAGCCCACCTGAAATTAAGGAAGATTTTAAGTTCAAAAACGATGCTGATATGGATATGACTGCAAGTCCTTTTAACAATACTTTACCCTAGAAAAAGTTTTAATCAATTAGCGAGAAGATTTGAGATTGACCTATCCGTAAGCGGACACATGTTTAACTCCTAAGTGATTTCCACTTATGAAGTAGACACACAGGACAGAACATCAGTGAAGGAATAAGAAGTAAAAACTCCTCCATTTAAATATTTTATCCTAAAGTCTAAAATAAAGGACTACTAGGTTAAAAAAATATTGAAGGATCATGAATATTTTATCAAAGGTTTTCCTACAACTCCATTTTAATACACAGATAAATTCTGATCCACTTTTGTCTCATCCTATGTCCCTAAGTGTCTTCATTTTCTCTTACATTTTGCAGAAAATTTCTTAGGAGTCCTTGCCATTTTGTGTGATTCCACTACCTTTGTAACCTCCAAAAATGCAATTCCTGTGTATCAGATTCTTTCTCAACCTCTTGTGTCATATTTTCATCACCAGTCTTGCTGAAAGTGAAAGAAAATGATAAAACACATCTTAAGCATTTTTATTTCTTCTTTTTATTTCCACTATTGACTTTTAGGCAGGTACTTTGTGATGTATAATTAAGTAAGACTGTCTTTTGGGAGAAGAGGTGAAGCTGTAATTTGTGAAAGGTCCCAAATCCACAATACATGAAAGAAATCATATGTACTAGGATAAACATGAATCATGTTGCATGCACAGACATGAGAAATCAAGTTGTTGTTTGTTGTCTATTTCTAGGCCAATGTGCTTTGTCAAGCAACTTGAGATTCCTCAGTATGGCTACAGAAACAATGTCCCTACAACAACACCGCGCTCCAACCTGGCCAAGGAGCTTGAGAAATATTCCAAGACTTCGTTTGAATACAACAGTTACGACAACCATACTTATGGCAAAAGAGCCATAGCTCCCAAGGTGCAAACCAGGGACATATCCCCCAAAGGATATGACGATGGTAGGAGGTGCACACTCTTATACATGAGAGACACGTTGCCATTGATGATGTTGTTGTTGTGTGTATCCATGTCCTGCAGATCAGCCACTGTTCATGCTCACCCAGTGGGTGCCAGAGGCCCAGCACAGGCAGAGCCCTGTGCTGAAAGACTCTAGGCCCAGAAGGGGCAGGTGGAGACACCTGTGGGTAGGAGGGACATAGTTTTCTGCAGTGACTCCAAGGCATAGGCTTCTGGCTACATAGAGATCGAGACCTAGGCTCTCTATGTTTTGGGGTGTGGCTGAGCTGGTACCCTTATAAGCTTTTTTTTTTTTAAGGCAAATACCCAAGACAAGTTTCACTGGAAGAAACAGGTTGAACTCTTTTTTAAGAAGCTCCATATTGACAATGCTCTTCAAGGGTGCATATTAGAAGTCTCTGAGGAGAAGGCCTTGCTCAAGGTCTATGCACAGGTTATACCCTAGACCAGTGAAGGTGGAGTCCCTGGGATCCTCTGTGTACTTGTATTTCTTAAAAGATACACAGGGCTCTTGATGCAGGCATAGATGATAACTTCAACCAGCCAGCTCTCTGAGCAAGCCAGGCCTGAGTTTCCTTCTCTGTCTGGGTGTTGAGGAGGAAGGCCAGCTTCAGTGTAGGACCCTTGGCCCTGAGCCTTGGCATCAGTGCCTTTTTAGAATTGATGGCACAAATACTTACAAGTTATTGTAAGTCAGTCTTTCTTGATGCCTTCCTGCAGATGGAGGAAGAAGGGGCTTTTAGGGAGTTAGGGCCCTTCTCTGAAAAATATACTTAAAGTCATACACACATAAAAAGTATTTAAAAGTCTGGGGATTCAGAAACCTTTTAACAATTCAACATGAGCTGCTGCATATCTTTCTAAGCTGTGTTTTTCTTACAGAGATAACAAGTAATTTCTTTTGTGAATGAAATTTAATTATTTCTATGACATATCACATATTGATCATCCATGTGTATCAGTTCTGTAATATTCATACAGATAAATACACAAAGAACAAAGATAGGGCAACAGGTATCATGGAAATAACTATTTTTGGTTTGTCTCTTTAGTAATAATTACTTGCTGGTTTCAAGTCTTGTAATTCATTCACTCGGTTGCAAATGAAGGATCAAAAGGAAATTATGTTCATACAGATGTAAATTCAACTTTCCAATCCATTGACATCATATGGTGATTCGGTTAATCTTTTCATCCGATGTTGATTTTCACATCCCTACTCCAAGGCTGTAGCACATTCTGATGTGCCTTATCAGACAGCTTGACAAGGCTTTTTACCTTACTGACTTTAGCCTGGGCATGCAGGTAGAGTCATAGGTGGTCATGGTGTCTTTAGAGCCATACATTCTTCCCTGGTCTGTAAATGAATCTGCTTGGGCTACTACAGTTTTGTACTTTATGAGCCACAGGGTCCTGCATGAAAGAACCTAGGATATTTACTTCCTTGAAACACTGTGTGTGCGTCCCTGCTCAAGGATGCTATGATGAAGAGTGGAGATGAGGTAGTGTGGGGGCACTCTTTTCCCACCATGAAGGCAGGAGTGAGCATATTTATTGGTCCTGATTCTCTCAAGTTCAGACAGATGCTGGTCTTGCAAACTTGAGGTAGGCTTTCCATTGCTCAGTTAAACCTCCACAATAGATTCTCAGTAAACCAAGAAAAAAAGGAAGAGCAGCAGCTTCCCACCACAACTTTCTGAGGAAGCAAATCAAAGGTCTAGTTCTCTCCTGCTGTCTCCACTGGCAGAGATTATATCTGAAAAGTTCCAGGCTGGGCAAAAATTCTGAGTCATGAGGCTGTATTGGAGACCACCTAGGGAAGCCATCCCTGTGCCCGGGCACCTAAAGGTAGAGTCCAATGTAGTCGACTATAGCAGCACCCCCTGTTTGCCTCAGACTTCTTTCAGACACACAAAGAATGTATCTCCTGCTCACTCTTGGAGAAATAAGAGATTTCTGCCCTCTAAATCCTGGCCTGACAGAATTTTTAGTTCTTAAGGACTGGGAACATTGGAGGTTCCCTTAGCAGAGAGGTGTAGCTAAGGCATAGGGCCTGGATATCAGCTCTTTACCTACCTAGCCTCCTCTGTAGCCAGAAAACCTCCCATCAACCACTTGCTTCTCCCAGACACCTCACCAGTTGTTTCTGTCCATCCATTTTTAGTCTACCTGGTCTGTCATTCTGGACAAAGGGTTGAGAGGTGAGATGAAAAATACCTGTGTGTGATGTGCACTCACGCATACAGAAGCATAGTCCATTCTATCTGAAGGACTGGATGAGTGCCACCAAATGGTAAATTGTACACTTGTGCCCAAAACTGGACTAGGCTTGATATGCAGGGATCCCCATGGGGTTGGGAGCACACAGGTGACCTGGGGAGGCCAGAAACAAGAATAAGGTTCAGCTGTAGGGGCTGAGGAAACAGCCTCCTCATTTCTCTGTCACAGTATGGATTTGGACACCTCCCATGGGAAGAGGATGTGTACAGGATGAGATGGAATAGGAGGGGAAGGGATGGCGCAGTCCATGAGTGTGAAGTTAGCGTCTCCCTCCCCTATGGGGAACTAAGAATGGCTCTTATGTCTTTAAATTTTAGCAAGAAAGTCAAAAGAAGGGTGTCTCATGATATGGAAATTATATGAAATTTTAAATCCCCTGTATGTGGTTATGGGCCCATAGTCACTTTCCATCTCACCTATGGTCTAGACTGTTGTCTAGGTTAGTAGCACAGCCCAGGACTTAACGTCTGCTTGGCCCTGATAGCCTTAAATTTCTGCCACCAGGTCATTTGCAAAGACAAGTTGCTGACCTGGGTGCTGCATCTTTGGGCACAGCTCATAACCTTAGGTTTGCTGCAACTGGTTGTATCCTAGGGTCACCACAGCTCCCACTCATACCCCTTCCCCTTGACTATTTCCCCTTCCAAAGTCTTCAAGTTCAAACTTCTGATTATCTATTAGCCTTTTCCTTGTCGCCCATACTTTCTAGGCCAGCCCTCTCACCTTAGACTCCAGGACATCCTAGATGCCAGCATCAGGCAGCTTCTCCATCAGCCTAGGTCCTTCATGTTTACCCTTTGTAGCATGGATTTCTCTGTTTGCCATAGCCATGCCTGGGACTTGCTTCTCTTATGCTACCTGATAAACTTTCTCTTGGGCCTTTTCTGCCCAAGTCCTCATGCAGCACGCCATGTCTTGCTTAGTTCTATGGCTGCCTTCCAGCCTATTACAGCAGCCACATGTGTCCTTTGCAAACGCACTACCTGCCTACAGTGTGGGTCTGTGTCCCATCCCTAGGTCAGTTCATCAATGAACTTACCTTATGTTAGCTCCCAGAGAGAGGGACTCTGGTCCTCAGAGTCTTCAGGCCTTACCATGGAGGTCGGCTAGGAAGACAGTGGGTCTGACAGAGGTGGTAATCGGACCCTCTGTAGGCCTTATCCTCAACCTATGCTCCAGAAGAACCCTGGTTTCCATGGAAGATTCTGCATCTCAATCCCTGCCTGTTTGTAGTACACAACATAGAAGTTAAGGGCTAAGGGAGCCATTTCCCCTTCTGAAAGTATCCACCTTAATGATCAGTGCCCCTATATTATACTATCTGTCTGGTTTTCATGGAAACTCATGATTGTATGGCCATGTGTCTATTCCCTGAAAGAAACTGAAAATGCAAAATAAACAGATATCATCCAAGGAGTATGAGAATTTCCATAAGCAGTGTAGGTTTATGAGGAGGTTCTGGCTGCAGGTTTTATGTTGGTTTTGCTAATATAGTGTTTTAGTCTTTGAAGGCAGCCCATATTTAGCCCTGGGGATCGGTGATGATATTCTATCCTCTTCAATCAGGGGCAGAATGTAAGCACATGTGGCACTCAATGTGGCTGCCTGGCTATCAACCACCGGTGGCCTCTAGGGTAGAAGCCTTCACATTCTCATTTCCCATCATCTGTTGGCACCAAGGATACACAGTTTCATATGAAATAGAACTTTTTTTGCTAAGAAAAATTAAATGCATTATGCCACTGTTATTCTGGTCAGACATGGGGGAGGACAGTGACAGGAGCATCCAAGTAGATGCCCTCACTATGCAGTACTTCGGGCCTCAGCACCATGAATGAATGCCTTGCTGAGTGTGGCCTTAGTGACTCAGACTGACAGTTCTGTGGATATCAGCAGTGTTAGCAGGATGAAAGACATTGCTTTCTTGAATTACTTAAAGTACAGGTACTGTTAATTTCATTTTGCATAAAACAAAAATTATTAGACCCAGTAAAAGGAGCAGTACAGATGTGAATATCACCCTGGTTGTATGCCTGATGGGAATGGGCAAGTGCATAGAGGATTTACCAATAGTTCAGTCACCTCTAAACTTCTGCACTGCCAAATTGTCAGAATGCAGGCATCATCTCCATGACTTAAACCCCTAGAAAAGTATAGGCACCAACATATTTACACTTACAACTTCAAGATAAAAGAAAGTGATCAAAGTAAGATGAGAGAAATGCAATCATTTTTAAGATTTATTTTAGTAAAATGTGGCCCACAGATGTAGTGTTTTGGGCACATGAAATGCTGGGGCAGTACAGGACACAAGGCTCCTGGACTACAGCCCGGGTGCTTCTCTGTCTGCTGTGGCCCTGAACAGCCCTGAACAGCCTCAGTGTCTGTATCTGAGAGATGGATCTGCAGCAGCGTCAGTCCACAGGGAGGTGGGAAGTTAGAGAATCTGCCATATTTGGCCTGGGAAGCAATTACCACGGGACAGGATGCTGCAGGCCAACTGCCTGCTGTCCCTTAGCTCTGTGCCCACAGAACTGAATGGGAATGCCATCCTCTTGCTCTGACATAGCCTTACATAGTGAGACCCTGTCTCAAAAATGAAACAAGAAGATACCATGTTGGTTTTTTCCTGGACGGGTGACTAGCCTTCCCCATTTAAAAAGAAAACAAAATAAAACCCTCTTGGAAAGTGGTAGTAAATGCCTATAACACCAGCATTTGATTTGTTGGGTAGATGCAGTAGGTTCTTCAGGTCTAGACCAGCCTGAGCTATGTGGTTAGCCTTATCCCAAAGGCACCTTCATATGTGGTATTGAATTTTTGTAGTATTTTCATGTCTTGTTTTTTTATCAAATATTTTGATGATGCAGAATCATTGAGTTGACATTCACATTTCAAAGCATGGCAAGTGTAACCCTCATTGCCCATGTGTAGGCCTCTGCCTGGTGCCCCTGTACAGTTCTTTGTTCAGTCACTCAGGCACCCTGGTGTAAGCTGTGCTTGGTCTAAATCCACTATTCTCACACACATAGTTCTACAGTCATACTAATGGAACTTACAAAAGAGAGAGCAGAGAATGAATAGGTAGCCACTGAACCCTCATCCTACCCAGTGCAGGAGTTGCCCCTGTGCTTCTCTGAGGCTGATTGACTCACTAGCCCTGCAGAATTAACAGTGTGTCCAAGTGGCTGATGGCCCTCCATGAGCTTTATTGGAAACTGACTGTGGTCCCTTGGAAGGAATCTGGATGAAACAGTCGCTTATGCAATTTGTTTCCTAGTGTCCTGGGTGACATTAGAATGGGGTGGTCACTCTTACCCCAGGATCTGGTCATCATGGCCTCAACTGAAGTAACCTCAGTTTTATTAAAATGTTTTCCCATTACCATACCTCCCCCGAGTCTTTAGCAGGCAACATTTAATCGAGACTCACATTACCAGATAGGATTATTTCACTATGGTTGTTCATTTGTGTTTGGAGATGTTATAGTATGACCTACAAAGCCTGTGTTAACTCTTTTTAGAAGGTTTATGGTTCATTTTGTGTATTTTTGTCCTTTTTGGAGGACAATTGTCAAGATCAAGCTCTAGGTACAGAGCAGCTAATGACCCCAAGGCCTCAATCCCAGAGAGCAGTAGCCATCCACAAGGCTTCTCACAGGTACAGGTTACTACAAGAGTGACTAAGGTAGCTATTGCCTGTGGGGGAAAGCCCTAAGCATTGCACTAGCCTAGCCAAGCTGGTCCATGTACATGCCTGACCCCTAGTGCCATTCTCTGCCCCCTTAACAGTTCCCTTTATGTATTTCATCACTCTGAGGAGGGTAAACATGGTATCTCTATGTTGAATATCTAGTCTTGGTGAAAATGAATATCCTGTGCACTCAACTAGAAGTGCTTCTGTGTTAGTGAAAAGAACCCATCCTAATGAATCAACCTTGAAGGAGAGACATGTTAAGCAGCTCTGAAAATTAACCCTCACTCCCAAGTACTTGGTGGCTGCTTTTGAAGGTGCTGGCATAAAAGGAAGCTGATCAAAGGATCTGCAAGGAAAGACCCCCTGCAGGCAGATGAAGAGCTGACCCAGCTGCCCTCTGGTGTCCCACATTTGCCAGGGACAGATAGTTGTCCTTAGGTATATGCCAAGCTCACTCTTCCCTTTAACTCTAGAAGCCTGTGTAACAATTACAGGATAGAAGTGTTTGGCTCACAATATCTGGTACACATGCCATACCAGAAACTTTCTCACAAAGCCCATAGTCCCCACAGCCTTAGTGATGATTCTTGGGTATCCTGAGAATCTGGGCCAACTACACATATGGCTAGAAAGAGTGGTCAGACTCTTAATGGATCAGTCATGTATAGTAGCCAAGTCCTGTTTACCCAAATATGTAGATGGTGCAGCAGTCATGATCAGTCAAAGCAGGGCTGATCCTCTCACAGGGTCACCCCCAATACTCTGTTCATTCAAGCATGAACAGTGTAGACTGGGAAGAATGAATAACCCCCATTTCTGTGTGTGTAAAGATGGGTGGGTTGGGACCAGTTTGTGTGTGCAGCATCCTGAGTGCAGGGCCTAACCACACTGTCCTCTGTCTCTCCAGCCAAGCGGTACTGCAAGAATGCCAGCCCCAGCAGCAGCACCACCAGCAGTTATGCGCCCAGCAGCAGCAGCAACCTCAGCTGCGGTGGTGGCAGCAGCGCCAGTAGCACGTGTAGCAAGAGCAGCTTTGACTACACACATGACATGGAGGCCGCACACATGGCAGCCACAGCCATCCTCAACCTGTCCACACGTTGCCGTGAAATGCCACAGAACCTGTCCACCAAGCCCCAGGACCTGTGCACCGCCCGGGTATGCCCAGGACCTCAGCTGTGTCACGAGGGAGCTGGCTATGAGTTGACTCGCTGCCAGCCCTACAGCCCTGTACCTCAGAACAGTGGACAGGTGTCTTTGTCACCTCTAACTCTAGCTTGTGTCTGGGACATTAACACAACCATCACCCATGGCCTTTATGATATCTCAACTTCAGGGTACACAAAGCCAAAAAAAAAAAAGGTGCAGCTTGACATTTAAACAAGAAGGCTTAGTGGTATCCTTGTTAGGTAAATGTGAGGCTATCCCTTTACCACATGCCTAGTAGGTCACACAGGAGAGCGAAGAAAGAGATGACATCTGACTGCACTTTTGATGTCTGTGGTCTCAGCCAATACTGTTACCTCAATGGCACACTCAGTGCTACAAGATTCAAGAAAGGTTTCTGTTGTTTAAGTTTTCTCACCTGATCAAGAAATTGTATTTGTCATGAAAACTACTTTTTATTATTTTTTATTTTGAGATTATAATACAATTATAGCCATTCCCCCCCATTAAGCTATTAATTTTATTATGTGTGCATATGGAAAGAAGCATGTGCACCATGGTTCATGTGCGGAGGTCGGAGGATAACCAGCAGAAGTTCTCTCTTTCTACCATATGGGCACTTATCAATTGGCCCACTGCAGCATTGCTGGCACTCATAATCGAAGAGAAGGCCATTAGGATGGGCAGGGAAGAGAGTGAGCTGTCTCCCCAGGGCTCTAGGCAGGAAGCAGTGTGGTAGTAAGTAGAGCTTGTGTGTTGACCACCTGCCCTCTATGTATCTGGAGACTCTAGGCACTGACAGCAGTTGTCACAACTCATTGTAATTTATATGATAGAGAAGGTCCATCACTTTATGGTTTGCTTTCATTCTTTTGATATTTTTTACTCCATATTAGTGGGACAGTATCAGGGAACATGAATTCTTTATGGCCATCTGGGCTACTGAAATGCAAGGCTAGTACAAAAGCCATTCCTCCCTGTGAGAATAAACATAGAAACCTCCCCTGGAGTTGTTTGTTTTGTCCTTTAAAAAAAAAAACACAATTGGGATAATGGTTCCAATATGATGCATCTAAATTAGTATCAAAGCTTGGAATCTGGGGTGCTTTGACAGACTTCTGGCAGAACAACACTGGAAATATATGAAGAGCAAAATACCAAGGACAGGACACTTGTCCCCTGTGTCCTCTACCTGCCCAAGAAGAAGAGGTAGCTAGGTATCAGAGGCCACGGGGTCACTCAAGTTGGAGGTCACATTTTTCCTTGAGAGAGTGAACTCTCTGGGAAAATGGTAGCTTATTTTAACTGTGCTTGTCCACTGCCATCTAAATACCTGCACCCCTCTGCTGGCAAAGCAGACTTTGAAGAGCTTGGTCTATTTCAATGCATCTCTGTATTTGTGCTGTCTCACTTCTCAATTTTTACCTATTTGACACAGTAGCAGATATGAGGACATGCAGATCAGCTCAGAGCAGAATCCCTAGAACAGGGCCTTAGGAACTGTAGTGCAAACTACCTCTTTTGAAATGGAAATCTCTTGGCACTGGGTTTCATGTCAGAAGGAAAATTCTAGTTCTTTCTCCATCCTTTCATCAACACTCAAGTCTTTCCTTTTTCTTCTCACTCACTTTGTAATTGTTGTCATCAATGAAATAAAGGGAAAAAATAAGCTGGTATATTATGGATGTATGGTAGGATGGAGGATGGATCTGTGAAGGATGGATAGATGGGTGCAGGATAAATTAATACATGTGCAAATGGATGATGGACAGAGAGAGGAAAGGGGGTCGATGGATGGATGGATGGTAAATGGATGGGTATATAGATAGATATGATACGGATGGGTGAATCTTCCAAGCAGTTTCTCTGTTAAGCCTGTGGTGGCAGGCAAGCCTACAGACCATGATGGTTCACTTGTATGTTAATGGAAGCGGGAGCAAGGGAGAGTATTATTGGTGAACTCCATCATAGCTAACAGTCATCCTCATTTGGGAAAGATGGAAAGGTAGAAAGAGGGCAGTCAGGCCTTCTGGGTAATACATCTTTCTCTCAACAGAATCCAGACATGGAAGTGGATGAGAATGGAACCTTGGACCTGAGCATGAACAAGCAGAGGCCTCGAGACAGCTGCTGCCCAGTCCTGACACCCCTGGAGCCCATGTCCCCCCAGCAGCAGGCAGTGATGAGCAGCCGATGCTTCCAGCTGAGTGAAGGGGATTGCTGGGACTTGCCAGTAGACTACACCAAAATGAAGCCTCGGAGGGTAGATGAGGATGACCCCAAAGAGATTACTGTAAGTCCTTCTCCTTGACCCTACCTATATTTGCTAGAAGCCCAAGAGGGGCCTTGGTAAAGAAAAGATATTTGCACACTCTCTAAAAGAAAATGTATTTTCTCCCTAAGTTTGGCCTTTAGCTAACAAGGACTTGGAGAACATTTTTTGGTTGACCCAGGAAATGTATAATTGACACTGATTTGAGAGAAACGGACTATGGGCTCTTTCAAATTTTATTTTCTAATAGGTGTGCAGCATTATGAGTGGTTTCCCTAGGAAAATACAGAAAAGACCATATTTTTTTTTCAAACAAAACAATACTGCATTTTCCTGGAGCAGTATAGGCAGGAAGATGAGTTCTGGGACAACTTGAGCCATATAGTGAAACCCAAGTTAATTAAAAATAAAATAAAAACTTACTGTGTGTTACCAATAAGCTCAAGCATTCAGGCTACACTTCTTGCATAATGCATCTTAGTATAGTCATCTGACTGCTTGTTTATGGCAGTATTTTTAAGATGCCTATGTTAGAGTATATTTTCAAGTAGTTCGGACTTTATCAAATTAGTTTACTACTATAGTATAATACCACTTGGACAAAAGATAGACTGTTTTCTTTTTTGTGCTCTTGTAGGTCTTACATATGCAGGTGCACCCACATGCAGAGCTCAGAGCAGGAAGTCAGATGTCTTCCTGTGTCACTGTCTGCCTCCTGCCTTTAGAACAGGGAGCTCAGAATTTGACTAGACTTGCTTGCCAACAAACTCTTGGGATTCTTTCTCCTTTCCCAATGCTGGAGTTAATGGTTCCCACAGCTATACCTGGCTTTTTACAAGGGTGACTGGGATTCAAACTTGGGTCCTTTGTGCTTGCCTGGCAAGCCACTCTTACACACTCAGCTATCTCCCCAGCCCCAAAAGAACATATTTTCTTTGCTGGAGAAGTTTTTAGTGCTTAAGTATGAAAGTTCTAACATCTGTATACTTTGTAAAATGAATAAAACTATGAGTAGAATAAGGAGCCCACTTACCAAACCATCACATCCTTACAATGAAAGAGGAACAGGTGGAGAGGCCTGCCTTTGAGCCTATTTGTTGTTTTGTTTTGTTTTTGTGCTGTGTAGTCCTGAATGGCCTCAAAGTCATGGTGATCTCCCTGCCTTCTCCTACTGAATGCTTGAGTTAAACCATAACTATCAAGAAGGAAATGGCAGTTGAATCTCTGAATTTTTTAAATTAAAGTTAAGCCTCCCTCCAGCGACAAAAACCTCTTCGTCATAGACTGTCTCAGAAGTAAACTTGCCTTTTAGCTTGTAGCATGGACTTAGGAAACATATTTGCTGAACTTTGTCCTCTCTAGAAAAATCTAGGTTACTGTGTGTGGACCCACCAAAAGTAGGTACTTTATTTTTAAAATAATAATAATTTAAATCACAACATTGACATAGTTGGTCTTCCATTGCCTTGACATAGAAAAGTACATGTAGGTGAAACACTAACCAGCGACTGGTAAAAAGTCCACTCTAAAATGTTTTCATGAAGAATATTAGATTTCTAGGTCCCTGTTAATAGCAGGTGCCCCCTGTAACAGCCACGAACATCCAGCTCTTCCCTGGACACTACATGCGAAAAAGGACCAGGTACAGTGGTTTCTCTGGCATCCAGCACACCCACTGGTCCTAAGCAAGAGCCCTGTAAATTTTTAGCAGCCCATGGGCAGTTCATCTTGTGTCTCACAACAAAGATACATTTGGGTTTTAAATATAAGAGAGGCAGAAGAACAGACAGGGAAACCCTACAGCCAGTGAATCTTGGGCTGGTGAGTTTTGTTGCTGTGTGTGGCTCTGAAGCTGTTTTCTGTCTACAGCCAGAAGACTTGGACCCATTCCAGGAGGCCCTGGAAGAAAGAAGGTATCCAGGGGAGGTGACCATCCCAAGCCCCAAACCCAAGTACCCGCAGTGCAAGGAGAGCAAAAAGGACTTAATAACGTAAGCACACCGTAAGGTGACACGCTGGCTCTTAGCCCTCCTTTCCCTGGCTTACTTTCAAAGTGAAGACATGTATATGTACATATATATGCCTTGCCATTTGAGCATGTACATTGGCGGCCCAGGAATCTCCAGATGCCGGTTGAGCAGAGCCAGAGGCTGCCTTGCACCTGCTTGTTCTCAGTGGCGCTCTATTGTGCGGAGGTGTCATTTCATTTAACCCTGTGCATTTTATTTGCAGCTTTCTCCAGGGAGCTTAACTCCCCTTGCAGACATTGCAGCTAAACTGGAAACAATGAAATTTTTAAGTTTTTTTTTTAAAAAAAAAAAAACATATTTACTATTCTGGCTGTCTTTGTTTTTGTTTGGTGGCAGATGTCCAACTCCAGGGTGTGATGGGAGTGGTCATGTGACTGGTAATTACGCCTCACACAGAGGGTGTGACTTCATTTTTCTCATGGTGGATTCTGTCTCTTCAATTTATTGTTTTCAGCTTACCTCAACAATGCTGTCAAAGTACAAATGTTGAATTCTATGTCAACCCTCCGAGTGCTGTATGCTGCCCTTCAAAAACATGCTAATTTACATGTTACACAATGATTGTTAGATCACTAAATTTGCAGAATTCTTCCCAAAAATTTAAACCAAGAGAACATGTATTTTGTTTTGATTTTTTTAAAAAAAATATTAACAGAAATGATTTCTTAAACATATGCTTGGTGACACCCAGAGTTAATAATATAAAAATTCAGTATACAGCACTTGGTCCATTGCTCTTCTGCATTGAACTTTTTTTATTTTCAACTTTGTTTTGTGTTGTTTGAGTGCTGCTACTGCCTAGGGGTTCACTCACTGTGTCTCTGGCCTGTCTTACAGTCTGTCTGGCTGCCCCCTGGCGGACAAAAGTATTCGAAGTATGCTGGCCACCAGTTCACAAGAGCTCAAGTAAGCATTCATGAGACTAATTCTTCTTTAACAATCTCTTTGCTGTTAGTTCACAGAAAGTAGTGTGCTGTTTGAAAGTGAATTGTCTGTGAAGGAGTCTCCTTTGTGCCTGATTATTTGGATAGTCTCTAGTTCTTTTGTGTCACAGCCTTTGTATCTGGAATTTCTTGTCTTCAGATACATATGCACTCCCAGGGAAAATCGTTGCAGAGTTACTCAAACTTTCAGAAAATTGCTGTATAACATTTTTTTAAAAATGGATGCTGGGGATAAAAATCTACCTGGTAACAGCCAGTTAGGTAAACTTGTGTTCTTCATTATGAACACTGCCCAGGCCAGTAACAGTGCAGCTCAGGATCTGTGTGGTGTACACACACACACACACACACACACACACACACACACACACACACGTGCGTGTACATGGTAGCCATAGCTCCCTCTCCTCTCCTTTCCTCTCCCCCTCTCTGTGTTGTAACTTTTAAGCATAAATCTGGCAAAACTGAGCCCAGTGCCAGCACCAGCAGACTGAGTCTGTTCTCCTTTGTAATCAAATGTACCAAACTCAGTTCCAAGCAGTCCATAGAGGGAGCCAGTGAAAGTATGACACAAGCATGGAAACTTTACCCACTCTAGTCAGTGTGAACTTTGAGGTGTCTGTAGAGATAAAAGGCCAAACTTGACAGCATAGCATGATGTTGGCAACTGCCCCTCGAATTATAGCCTTTGCTTACCTTATGTTTCCTACCATTGTGTAGAATGCTTGGCTGGGAAGATACTGTCCCCTCCCGACCATCCTATCCCTTATCCCCATTTCCATAGTCCAAGGGTGACCTGAGTGCAGCCTTCTGTTTGACACCCATGTCATTTTTTTCAGGCTCCCTGTCCAGGGCCCTAGTGCCATAGACCACCTGCTCATGTTCAGTGACTTCCTGAACTAGCCCTTCTGCCAATTGCAGGACTCTTGCCTTGCCGTTGTCTTCCTGAACTAACTGTAAGCAGCTGAAGGGCTTCCTCTTGTCTGACAGTCTAGCAGCGTTTAAATCAGTGCCTGATGGACAAATAGCTTTAGCACCTCAAAGCAACAGCCCTTAGGAGCAACAATCCGGCACACTTTGTTCAGCCATCTTTTTGTCATGGCTTTAATCCACATTTTCCTCACGGTCAAAATGTGACCAACTGCACTTGGATCCTGGCCAGCACATCAGAATGTGGCAGCATTCTTTTGACTCTCTTGATGAGGAACTCTTTGCATAAAGCCTGGTATATCTCCAGTTGCAACAGGCCACCTGTAAACAAGAAACTAGCTTTTGTTCTACTGGTGCATTCTGACTGCTTAGTGTTTTGAGACATGGGACCAGAACACTTTCCTGACAGTATAGTTCACATCTGTTAGTGTGTTGGGCTTGGTGTCTTCACATCTAACATTTCAGGCAGACCTGCTGTTTCTCCAGTCCACAGTTCCTCTTGCTTCATTTCATCTTGGGAGATGGCTGGTCCTCTCATCAGCACCCTCAGGGAAGGAACTGAACTCACATCATCCAGACAGCGTAGTCTTGGTCAGCGCCCTCCTTTTTCCTTCCTGCCAGGAAGCTGTACCATCCGGAGAACAGATACTTTTGCCTGGTTTGGGTTCATCTAAAAGTTATACATGTTTTCTATGTTTGTCTTTGCAAATAAGTCCTTTTTTGCTTGACCCCTGCTAAGAAATCTAAACCTGACTAATTTCCTAAAATGAACTGTTTCTGTTAATGGAACTTCAAAACTTAAAATTTGGTGTCTTCTTTAAAGAGATTACAATTTAAACAGCCATTTTTTAAAAAAAATCTCCTCTACACACTAAATAAATAAATAAATAAATAGACCATCACGATAGCCTTTTCTCTCAGCCTTTCATTAAAGACTCTCAGTCCAATGCTTCCTTGTAGAAGTCAGGAAGGTTTGCTGGTGTGTTTTCCTTTGTAAGTTGTACAGCAGCTTAGAGTAATCATGATTATTGCAGTGTATGGATATTCCTGAAAGCCTTGGTCAGTTTGTACAGTAGCATCTCACCTGAATGAGGAACTGAGTTGAGTCCCTGGGTTATTATTCATACAACAGTCTCTACCTACCAATGATAATGTTAGGAAGTGGGTCCCAATAACCTCAGCTACCACATAGATTTTTAAAGAAATTTTCCTCTTATCGTTTCTAATACTTACATTTTATAGGTAATCCTTAGAAGAACATTTTTAGCCATGGACAAGAAAGTTGTCTAAAAATCCATTGACCACAAACTCTTAGATTTCATAGGCAACACTGCTCATTCATAGCCGCTGTGGGATAGTTTTAAGAATAAATCAATGATTTTGTGCTTAATTATGTACAATGTGTAAACTAAAAATGCATTAAAATGTTACATGACTCTTACCAACACTGTGGAATGACTCCTGGGCCCCTTGTGTCTCTGTTATGCATATCACATGTCCTGGAGGGAGGGAGACTTGAGGGCCAGAGAAGAGAAGACTGTTCAGCCAAGTACTTCCCTACCCACCCTGGCTGTGAGATTGTGGCAGCAAGCAACAAAGAATCAAACTGTAAGAAGTAAGGTGGCTTTTGAGGAGAAGCTATCCTAATGTAAAATCTGATTCTAAAGCTACTTTTCTCATTTTGAAATGTCATTTTCTAAAAGTTTACCAAGGGTGACACAGGAAAGGCAGCCACAGCATTGTGGCCTCTTTGAAGAGCCTCAGCCTCCTGGCCAAGGACCCTTTCCTAATGGGAGTCATGTTCAATGTCAGACCCTGGCAGATGCTGGCCTATGTGGGGTTTTAGCCATCTCAAGAACCAGTCTAAGCTGAGAAAATCAGCTTCAGACAGGGACCATGGACTTGCTTACAGTGGCCCCAACTGAACAGGCCTCCATTTACACTTCAGCCAGATATAGTGGAATTCTAAAATTAGAGTGTTTGTAATTGGCTTTAACCACATATACACAAATGAAGTGTGAGTCCCTGTCAAAGAGGTAAAGCAAAAAGACCTGTCTCCTCTCTGCCTCTCTGACATATGTTCATGCCCTGTGGGAAACCCTCCCCAATATAAACTCCTAGGATCTAGCATAGGACCATAGGAGAGTTCATAGCCTGAATGATGGACCATGTCAAGTATCCTTGGGAATTCCCTGCCCTGACTCTTCTTTCCATTTCCTCTTCTGCAGGAGTATGGGTGGATAGGAGAGTGAGTGGGAAGATCCATCTTAATCTCCTATAACTACACACACCAACCCACATAAACAGTGAACAGTGATCTATGTTGTACAAATCTCAGTTCTCTAGACACAGCTTAGCTCTGTTGTGCGTTTGTGCCTCACTTCCTTCAATACAGATTATAGTAAAGTTCCGAGTAAAAAAATCAGATTCAGGTAATATAAGGAAAGCAAAAATCATGATCAAGACCTACTTTTTCATGAAGAACATGCTATAACATGAAATGCAGAGCCTTTAGCCTATCAGAAAGGCATCTCATCTGTGCCTCAGTTTCTTTATCTGTAGCCTAGACTAGCACTAGGGTAGCTCAGTAGGCATTTGGTGGATGTCAGTATAACCAACAGTGTCAAGGTCCATCAATCCCTGGGTTTTTAGAAAACATTTGCCAGCCTGGACTCTAAAAAGGGGAAATAAACAAGGTAATTGATGTTTCTGAAATGGCAACATCCCTTGTTCTTTGAAGAGTCACTGAAATAAGAACTTCATTCACTCAAATCTATGGGGGAGAAATTGACATCATATACTTTAAGGCATGAGGTAGCACACGCCCATAATCTCAGCAGTCTGCTGAAGCAGGAAGATGGTAAATTCAAGGCTAGCCTGGGCTACACAGTGAGATCCTGTCAAGAAGAGGAGTAGGAGGAGGAAGATGATGGTGATGATCATAGAAAAGAAAGGACACTGTGCAGGTACAGAGTTAGATAGGGTGGAGAAGTATGAAGTCTGAATGCCTGCATGGAATGTTCTGATGTGCTATATCTAACACGTCTATATAGTATGTTCTATAAGCATGTTTTATCATGGGTTTCTATTGTAGCTGCTTGCTCTTTGCAGTATGAATCATCACAGTTCTCATGTTCCTCATTTAACCCTTATATCCAAAGCTCCCCCAGCCACCTTGGCTCCTTGGAATCCATGTCCTTACATCCCAGGGTCCCTTTGGAAATGAAGACAGTCTAGAAAACACTGAGCTCACAGGCTTCCTATACTGAAATACCAACCATGAAAAGACATTTTCAGGGATTACCCAGAATGAATAAAACTCATTCATTTATACATTCATTCATTCATGCAATTGTTCAGACATTTCAAAATAATTCAGTTTATACCTAGAGATAAGATACAACTCCTAGAGAGAAAGAGAGAGAGAGAGAGAGAGAGAGAGAGAGAGAGAGAGAGAGAGTCATGTTCATGTACTCACAGCAGACCAAAGGGAAATACTACATTAATCCAGGGATCAAGGACAAGCTACACATGAAAAGCGTTTTTTTTGGGGGGGGACAGGCCAAAAAAGTACCAGAGAATCAGGTGAACCTGGGTTACATTTGTGGGGACAGTCAAGGCCACCTAGCAAATAATGAATGTTGGGGGGTACATTCACACCAAAAAGTGTGTGTCATGGGCAACAATTCTATTTCTATTACAAATAACTTGACCAACCTAGGGAAGAGGATGCAGTTAGAGATGGCAAATAGAGATGACAGCAAACAGACTCACCAGGGACTAGCTAGCAGAGCCATAAGCGGTATCCTGGAATGGTAACACCCAGAGACTGAACTATAGCAAAGGTTGGAGGAGACTGTGTCTACAAGAGACTTCTGGAGAGAGCAGAATGATGGGAAAGCCTGAGAGTTTAGATCCAGCAGCTGCCCTGCTTTCTGGTCCCCTACAGAAAGGAAAGGGAACACGTGTTACAAAGATAGCTCCCACCTTCTAGCACTGCCTTCTACCATGCCTGGGTCTTTAGTACATGGC